ACGTTCGTGCACGAGGCCGATAGGTCCTGAGTTCGAATCTTGTGAGGCGAGGTCGTGGATGCGCATTGTTGAGGAGTCCCATGCTAGGATGAAACGGCCGTCCAGTGCCTCCACGTTTTCCATGGTGGTCTAGCTTCAATTGACTCATGATTTCAACTACAGGAGTATTTACTGTATGGTTCTCAGATTTTACTAAGATGTTCTGTAATTTTGTATTCAAATGCATTTGATTATCTCCACTTGTGTTCTGATTCACTACAAAATCAGTAATCTAATTATTTAAAATAATGTCTATTAAAAAGAATTAATTTTGTACACTTGATGTATTGTAATACTCAAATCAATAGGTTACTTATTATAGAAAGAACTAATGATCAGCTGACTGATTATTCTTTGTGAATCATTTAACCAATGTACAATGTTCATAATGTAAACATAATTAGTAATTATTTCAAGTATAGATAATTATGGTGGGACTATTGTCAAAGGTTAGTTATTAGCTAATCAGATTAATTCCTGGATAAGTTTCAATTTACAGAAATACTAAAAATAAAATATCTATGCATTATGATAAATACTTGGCTATTAAACTAGTGAATAGCAAAAGGTGACATATCTCTCTTAGAGAACTGGTATAGTAATTAGTTCTAACCATCTTGCTATAATGATGTGACTGCTAAGTCCTGTATAATGATTAACTAGACTTTCTTATATCCTAATTGACCGACCGTCAAATTTTTTTTATCAATTTTTACATGTTCTCTATAAGATTCTACTATCTCAAAGATATTCATGTCCTTGTAAATGCCCTTACTTTCTGTATACTATATAACCTTCAACTATGGAATGATTCGAATTACAGTATCCTTTCATTCTTCTTACACCAGTGGATTCTGACTCAGTGGTTTTAATTACTAAGTATCCTCCATGAGACTTGGAGATCTTATGTTCAGTTCCCAATGAGGATTTCTACACTAGGTTCAAACAACTGTTTATTGATTCCTGTTATTCAGATGTACCTCAATTAAATCTAGTCTGTGACAAATACAACCTACAAAGGGAATAAATTTCCATGGAAACTTTTCAACTATGCGGGGATATCAGAATAGGATTGTGGAGATTAAGTTTTTGATTAAGATCACGAAACGACTGATGTTAGACCACCATTAAAAGCCTGGAAGCACTGAACAGCCGTTTCCTCCTATTGTGGGACCCCTCAGGAGTGCACACCAGGCATCAGAACCCAGCACCTTCAGTATCACACGCGAACGCTTTACCTCTACATCACTGATCCGGCATCCATTGATGTTAATGTCTAACGTCCACCAATCCACGAGATTACGCGACTATCTTCCATTGTACTGAGGTAGATACCTGTCTCTACCCGACACGGATTAGCTCTAGTGTTCACGGCTTCTCACTAGAACTCCGAGAATTCCCTCACTGGATGGCCACCGAAGGGATCGTAGATGCGCACTACTGAGGAGTCCCAACGTAGGACAAAATGGCCGTGCAATGCTTCCAGGTTTTTAATGGTGGTCTAACAACAATCGGTTCGTGATCTCAATCAATATACTGGGATACGTTATTATATGTGAAAATTATATTTGAAATAATCTCGGCAATTGAATTTTAAAATAATTCCAACGTTTCGTCCGGTTAACTTGTCTGGACTTCCTCAGGGTAATAATCGTCATTAAAATCATCAAAGGAATATATAGCGTTTTAACAATCAGATCTATACTGCGCTAATCCAACCATCTTTGAATGTTGATTTTTAGTAAATGGGATAACATGAGTCAGTTAAATGAGAATCATGTGTAAAGTTCACGACGTGAAAATAAATGACTGAACGAATTGTCTGTGTGTGTGTATGTATGTGTAAGATTGAATTATTAATGTTTGATATTCGGTGTTAATATGTTTTTATCTGAAGGAATAAATAAAATAAAAGTGCAAGTTGAAGGTTGAAAATTGTTTCCGAATCATGTGGATATAAAATGAGAATCATAAGTACATAATTGTGTATTGCTAAAACTTACATTAACTCCAGTCAAAATAATGATGCATGTGAAATAAACAGGTTGAATAAAGAAAGGGTCCAATTACTTATCAACGAATATTTGCCAAGTAGTCGCTAGCTGAATACCATCCTTTCGGTTCAGGCTGTTCTTGTTCGCCCATACATACAGCGCTTCTGCTGTCAATCTTTCCTTATGAGTGTTAAAGCCTTTCTGAAGTATCTTGGTCCCTTCAAAATTAATCTTGTGTCCTGCTTCTAACGCACGTAACGCGATCGCAGACTTATTCTCAAGTTTCTTTAAGTCAACCGAGGATTTGAGAACAATTTTCAAACACTGTTTGTGTTCCTTCAACCTTACATTCAATTGTCGGGATGTTTCTCCCACATAAGCTGCATTACAGTCATGACAGTTGATCTCATAGACAATATTTCGTTTTTCTTCATTTGGGACCCTATCTTTAACTTCAACTAATGCTGATCTTATGGTGTCACATGCCCGAAAATACACTCTTACATCATGCTTGTTAAGAATCCGCTTGATTTCTTCCGATGTTTCACTACGGTATAGGATGACCACTGTGGACTTCCAACCTTTCAGTATACATTCTAGTTTAATTTTTCTTTCATTTCTAACAATCATTAAAAACTCTTTTGGGTAGTTGTTATCCCTAATTGTAGACAATACTCTATTCCATTCAACTTGTTGGTCTTCCTTATCTGTAACTAGCCTAATACTTCTGTTCATTAAGTTTTTTACAACATTGACTTTCGTACACTGCGCATGAGCCGAACCATAATCTAAGTATCTCTCAGAATGTGTTGATTTCCTGAATACATTTATTTTCAACTTCTTATGATTGTCTTCGTTCAACCAAACAATCGTGAAACGCTAGTTTGTGGTCAACGGATTCAACTTCCTTCGTTAGCTTAATGCTTTCCGAAATGATGTTTACATTTTCAAACAATTCTTTTAAGCCATCCCGTTTAATGATAATAAGAATGTCATCTAAATACCATAACCAGACCTTTGGTGGGCATACACATCTTTTGATTGCACTGGTTTCTAGGGAATGCATACATTAATTCGCTACAATCGGAGAAACTGGTGAATCCATTGCTATACCTTCTTTCTGTCTGTAAAGGTCTCCTCGAAATGTAAATAAGGTGGATCTTAAGCATAATTCCAAACATTTAATAACTTCAGATGGATCTAATAGGCATCGTAAATTCATATATGAGTCAGATTCTAAACAATCATAAATAATATCCAACTCTCTATTAACAGGTAAATTAGTGAATAAGGAAGATACATAAAAACTTGCCAATATTTCATCCTCTTCTACATAGATGGTATCGATAATATTCTTGAATTCCATAGAGTTTTTAATTTCATGATTAATCAGTTTGTCATGCGGTTTAAGTATCTTAGCTAAGTATTTCGCTAGATTGTACGTCTGTGAATTTGTAAAATCAACCACTGGTCTTAGTGGAGTATTATTCTTGTGAATCTTTGGAAGTCTACGGAATCTACGAGGGTTACAACTCTTTGGATATAACATGAACCATAATGATGATCCTAGTTTAACCTATAACGACTGCAAGATTTTACTGGTTTCAGCTTTAAGTTTAGTAAGCGTCGTTCTACTTTTCGTTTCTTTAATTAGTTCATACGAACCCTCTTGTAGATGTTCCCTGGCTTTTTCCTCGTAGTCCGATTTGTTCATAATAACTGTCGTGTTCCATTTATCTACTCTCGTAATGATAATTGTCGTATCGTTTCTCAGATGTTTTAATGCATATAATTCATTTTTAGTTATATTAGAATTATGTGGTTTCTGATATAATAACGTAGCCATTATTATATTGGGATACGCTTAACCGCAGACTGATATTAATTAAAATTAGGAAGTAGTCGAATAGTTGTTTAGACCTAGTTTAGGAATCTTCACTAACCGGCACCTATAAACCTACATGTAGGATTGAATACGGGGCATTTATATTTGATGGTAATCACATTATTTATAGACTATTGAGTTGAGATTCAGTGTTTAAATTTCCATCACTTGAGATTTCGTTAAATACTATGATATTCATCAATCATAATCGGTGGTACGTTGTTTACTTCTAACCCCAGCTGCTACAATTTCTTAATGGCATTTTGGAAATCCATTTCCAAGCCACTGGTTTGCAGAGATTAGGGTAGTATGAAGACATTTTTCATTCATAATCGACATTAACCAGATAGTTATAAAAAAATAAAGGGATCTTAGCTTGGGACAACCATATGACTGGATGATTATGGAGTAATATCACGAATAAATTAATTTGAGGGTTTACTTTACGAAATGACAATTAAATATTTTAAAGAACATATTATCCCCAAGATCTTGAGGTAATGTGTGTGTGTATGTGCACTAGTGAATAGTGGTTCGGAACTTTGGACAAATTAGATATCCAGTGTTACGTGATTTTCAATGGTTTAAGTCAAAACTGTTTTCAGATTTCAACAGTTGAGATCATGTGTCAATTGAAGCTAGACCACCATGGAAAACCTGGGAGCACTGAACGACCGTTTCGTCCTATTGTGGGACTCCTCAACAGTGCGCACCCACGACCCCGCCCCGTAGGATTCGAATTCAGGACCTACCAGTCTCGCGCCAGACGTTTAACCAACTAGACCGCTGAGCCGGCATCCAATGGTGTTAATGTCTAACTTCAACTAATCCACGAAATTGAACGACACATCCAACCATTGTCATCAGTGAGTTACTACCTCACAACTGACCCGGTTGAACTCCACTGGTCACTGCTTCTCACTAGAACTCGAGGATATATCTCTTGAAGTCAGTCACTAGTGAGCATATGTTGATTAGTATCAGATTGTTTATTGTCCTACTTTGATTTACTTCAATATACAATGATTTTATAGCTCTTCGTATAAATGTTTCTTTTTGGTTTTCAATATTCTATTATACAGACTATGTCCAGAATTGTTCTCCTTCTAGCGCATACACGTAAACAATTAAATCATAATGATATAAAATGTAAACAAGAAAATCAATATAATTTGTCAGATAATTTTCAACAATCATCCAATCCTTTATGGTTAGAAGAAGATAAACTATTGGATTCATCCAATTTTAATGATAATTTTCAAGCTGTAAATGATCTAAATGAATTGAAATCTCATATCAATCATTCAATACTGGATGTTTCCAATATTGACAGAAAACAAATAAGGTATTCATGAAATTTGTTTCATGTATGTATTTGTTTAATTTTGTTCAATAATTACAAGAACTAAACAGCAACACATCAGATTATCAGTGAAACTCAGGAGAACAACCTATAAAATTCATGAGATATTGAAGTCTGATTACACAAATATAGCATAGACTATTAGTCTCAGTTTTATGCATGAATTCTATGAGAACGATTGAAGGTCAGGATCATCATATACTTCCTGTGTTGACGAGAATATAAACGTGTCGAGTCTCTTTTGCCTTCCGATTGCCTATTTTCTGTCTAGTTGATTGATGATAAACAAAATTCTAAGAAACCATATAGGTACTTAACTCTAGTAAAGGACTTAAAGAGACAATAGAACATGATACGACAAAACCGTTGAAGACTTAGATTCGTAAGGACTACCACGGATATTTCATGTGATAGAGAAAGAAGTATGATAAGTGTGTTGCCACAAGCAGAGAGCATTTTGATGGCAAAAAGGACTGATGTTCCGTAGAATTTGTAAAATGAAGTCTTTATGACCTTCGATCACATACTCATTGGGGATAGAGATATGTGAATTTTGCAAGGTTGTCAATTATTTGTCTTGTTAAGAATCACTTTGTATTGGAGAAGACACTTGCTTACAAGTAATATGAATATATGTCTGAGAAATTTGATTAAAAGGATTGTTGGAATCCTTTTTAAATAAATAAACTTTTAAACAACGAAATATGCCGGGGGTTTTGAATAATCGATAACAGTAGTCAAGAAGCTTTAAGCTTTCTAATAGTTAGCACTCCTCATCAAGACTTATCAACAATCTTGACGGAATTGACAAATCTCATTCGATTTGAACTCACATCATTCACTGCAATTGACAAACTCGTTACAAATGAACTGGTTGTACCATATTCCAACGTACTCTGGAAATTATTCACTGTTGGGGATTAACTATGAGACTAGTTACTACTTAACGGCAGATTAATGTATATAGATTATCAGACTACGTAAACTATAGCTGCAAATCATTCTTAATAATATGAAGATTTTTCAGCGTCAAAGTAATCCATATATCAGACAAACAGTTGGACTTCCCTTTATCAGGGTTAATTAGCTTCATATCCCAAAGATGATTACATTTTTTCAGATTTTCTGAAACTGAAATCGACATTTCATAATTACAGAAGACTATTTACAAATGATTCATACGATATATTATTAGGGTTTCGATTACTTCAAGTGTCTACATATTTCAAAATAGTTTGGTTAGTAAACAGTATGATATCTGTGCAAACAATCAAAATCTTTGACCATTGCTTCTTGTTCAATTGAAGTATGAATTAAATAAGCTACTTTTCATCAGCTTTACACACATCTACAAGTCTATAACTTTTTGGGTTGATTAATAAATTATTAACGTAGTAGATTATTAGTAAGTCATAATATGGCTGTTTTATGACAGAATATGCGGATTGTGAGGATCCAGGATATTTAATTCATCATATATGTGGTACATCAGCTGAATGTGCATCCATTTCAGTGTTGAAGTTCATATGATGTCTCATTACTAGCTTAAGTGTATCTATTAACATTATATATTTTTGTCTGACATTGAATACAAATAACTTTTCTTATGATTGAACTCTAACAATTCTGAATATTAAAACCTTTAAGTTCAGTACACTAATTCATTAACTTCCCATTTTTAATTCTATGCCAATATGTTATTATTTGATCTATTCTATTTTCATAGATATTTTCTGTTTCATTTTGAAAGTTATTCACATCAAGAAATGATATTATCTAGGAAACTATTGAAAACGAAACATTTCTGAATATTCACTTTATACCTGTTTAAAATCACTAATTAGCAGTACATATCCAAGATGCCATCAGGGATAAGACATAAAATATTTAGGTCTCAGAGTTTTAATGTGAATTTTGACCAGTAAAGTTCAACCATAGAAGACGTGAGATAAATAATACTGATGTAAATTAATAAAGGTAACTCAATGGGTTGAATTGATTGAGGTTGTAAATGGTAACTACTGGGTGGTAACTCGGGAGTCCAAAAGTTACAAGCGCAGAGCAAAGCCTATAAGTCTCGGATATCTCATACTAAGATGAAACAGCTATCTTATATTTCCTGTTTCTCAATAGATTATCGGACTTCTGTATTGCATCTTTCGGTTTGCGCAAAACAGAACAAACTGGTTACGTTGGCTTATGAGTGAGATTGATCCCATATGGTTTCAAAACTTATTATAATTTCTGAAGTATTTACCATAACTGATAGGAAGATTTGTGTTCTTTATTTCAGAAGGGGAATTTCAGGGTATGAAATCAATTTTTCAGATACCTTTTGATGAAATTACTTCCATAATCATACAAAATATTACAAGAAAACCACTTACACTGACTAATTAATAAGCAATGGCCAACGTCATATGCGCCTAGTTACCTAAATCCTAATTGAATTCTAGCAATCAAGTTAGAATGTGGTCACTAATTTAAGTGACTTGATCTCTCACGTAATATGTACTGATATGAGGTAGTTAGAGGCAGTCAGCAAGGAACCCTATATGTCTCGGACTGTTAAACTGGACGATATAGGTCTAAATCAACCTAGGTACATCATTTTCCTCAAGATTTTAGATATATATCACTGATGAATGCCAATGAACACGAAATCTATGTATAAGATTTCCTGTTAAACATTTCTGAACACTTAACGGTATACCACATATATATATGTTGAAAAATGATGTAATAAGCGAACTTTCCTCCTTATTCGTTTTACGAATAATAAAGTTTACTTTTAGTATACTGTTAATACATTTTTTTTAAATATACAATTAGCGGTCATTTCAAAATGTTTTATTTACATTATAGAATCTCAGAGACTTTCTACCCAGTTAATGTAAATGGACTTCTTATTTGGAATTTGCATATTAACAATAAATCAAATGAAATTATTATATGTAAGTAATATATCATTAAATATTTAGTACAACTTTATAGCTTAGTACTAGTAGTAGTGTGGTCTATGCTACTTATGTCGACAGATATAAATAGTATATAACATTAATCAGAAATGAAAGGCTTGGCAACAGAAGGTTGGGAAGATCGAATCGAAATGAACGGGAACAGTGAGTAATTGTTATGGCAATGAAAGAAAAACGAAGTTTGAGAGAATGAATGCAAGAATTTCAAATGAAGTACTGGTTTTCACATTTTACTAAAGAACTCTATAATTTTGTATTAGACTATTTTGGTTGTCCCTATCTGTGTTCTCGTTCATTACAATCGTAGTAATGAAATATACATTTCAGTTTTGAAAAAAATCTTAAACAGTTTCAATATAACTTTTATTATAGTTCATAAGAGAATGTCTTTTGTTTAAAGTAACTTTTGTTTTACTTTGTTTTCACAGGTCCTGAAACATATCAGATATGGTTGAATAATCAAAAGATTAAAAATATCAAAGTTAGTCTGTTTCACTAAACTTTAAAATAGAATAGAATAAAATAACATGGGAAAGTAGAGTATATTTTGATATTAGATGTATGAAGACAAACAAAATTACATTCCCTCCAAGTCTAGATTTGTATTTCTAGAAATTTATGGTGAGACTATAATTTATGGACGACTTTTGAACAACGCTAGGCTAACCTTGAGAGTGTCCACCTAAATACTAGGGCTAACTGAGGGTTATAAAGCAGTTTGAAGAATAAGGATAATGATTTACAGTTGATGGTTTAGGTTAGGAACTATATTTGGGGTTTTCATCACGAACTGACATCAGCTATAATGACAAAACTCTAGTTAGCCAAATGGGTGAATGAATTTCGCGCCAAAATGTAAGACTTGTTAACGTAAATCTAATTGGTTCGTCCATAAATTATAGTCTCGGCGAATTTATTTCAAAACATATCAGACACCTTAATGAAAACCATTCTCCTCTGTTGTAAGTATTCAGTTTATTCGAAAAACTTCAAATAAATAACTTGCCATTAAAGAATCAGATGAACTACAGACATGAATTAAGTGATGAATAGTCCTAGAAGTAGAAGACTAAACCTAAATCCTAATGAGAATATTGGGTTAGAGTATAACTGATTTGGTAGATAATATGTCTGATAAGCCTTCAATTTCCTCTGATAGTCAATTCATTAAATCAATAAATTCTGTGCTGAATAAGTGACTTTCAATAGCCTATTACTTCCTTTCTACGAATAGGTATAAATCACTCGAATTAATACTAAGTAATATGTACTAATCAAAGTAGTCATATTAGCAAACCAGAGGTATTGGGCTCTACATAATTTTCTAATATTTTCTCTAAAAAAAAGTATGACTACACACAGTATATTCAAATGATGTAATTTGGTTAAGATGTGATACAATGTAATTATTACAAATACTCTTAAATAATTGGGATTAACTTCGACTAGTAATGATATAAGTCGGAGGGTTATTAAAAATAAACTTAACGTAAACGGTTAAACTGATTTACTCCATAAGACTCCTGAATATTATCTATCCAATACGTTCAGATATCATGGTTAGAGTCATCAATTCAGGATACAATTATTTCTATTCCATAACTCCAGACCATTGTAATGTATGAAGTCAACCAAATCATAAAGTTTATACTGATAATTTTGTTCAAAAGTACAAGAAAAGTTCTATAATTGAACCATTCCGATCAAAAAATGAAATTCCATCAATTTGAATAAAACAGTAACTGATATCTGAATTCGAAATATATATGAACCATTAATTTCTAACTGAACAACTTAACAATGTTCTATTGACCATGAAACATGGATGTCTTTGGTTTGATCACAGGGTGAGTTCGTAAATATCTAGTAGTAGCGTATCATAACAACGAAAAGAATAGTAATTCACCAATCTCTGTTTTTTCAAATACTCTTTATCTAATATCAATCGATAAAGTGACTTAACTCCAAAGTAATTGGAAAATCTTCAAAATATCATATTAGCAATGAATTCCCACTCGTTTATAAGGTTATAACATGTGGATATCATAAAGTTTAATACATTCAACTTAATTATTACTTTGTTTTCTATATTTACATGTAATCAAGTTAGTCCAATACTTAATATAGATTCGAATTAATTATCCTTTGTGAAATAATCTGTTAACTGTAATCAAACACATTATATATATATGGTATTTACCCTTCAATTCATTCCCTTTTTCCCTACTGTTTCACTTCCCTCATTTAATTCATATAGGTATATTTAGATTGTCATAGACAATCACAACATGGAACATTATTACTTCAATTTGAAATGAACCTTTCAAATGATTCAACTAATAATCAGCATTCATTTCAACAAATTATAAAAAGTTTTAATTATCAATTTATTATTTCTGCATTTTATTCATCTGAATGTTCTATGACACTAGAAGATAAAGAACTTATTTTAGATCTATTACAATTGAAACATATGAAATCATTTATGAATATGTCAATGACCAATTGGACAATTCGTTATATTTATCACATTTAAATTATTACCATATTCGAAAACCAGTATGTATAATTTAGGTTTATTAATAGTATAACTAATGAATTAATAAATAAAAATAATTCTTAACATGTCTCTATTGAGGAACATTTTGTTGTTTAATCTTTTACTACTTATAAGTAGGTAAATTTTAGGAGTATCAGAAGGGGTTTTGTGGAGATTTTAGTCATTTCAAAAGTTGAGATAAAAAGTCAATTGAAGCTAGACCACCATGGAAAACCTGAAAGCAGTAGACGGCCATTTCGTCCTATAACGGAACTCCTCAGCAATGTGCATCGACGATCCCGCCTCACGAGGTTCGAACTCAGGGCTCTCAGTTTCGCGTACGAACGTTTAACCTCCAAACCATTGAGCCGGTATCCGATGGTGTTAATGTCTACCTTCGACTAATCCACAAAATTGGGTGACACATCCACCATTGTCATCAGTGAGTTACTATCTTACAACTGACACGGTTGAACTTCAGTGGTCACTACTTCTCACTAGAACTCCAGAACAAATATTATATTCAGGTCTTTGAAAATACCGTATGATTTCAGTATTAATTAGTTACTAGATGCTAATCTTTATCATCGAGTTACATCATCTAAAAAAATGTTAAAAATCAATGATCAGCCGGTATTATGGCTCATTTTGAAACTTTCTAACTATACATATCCTCAACTGTAAAGAAGACCAAATTTGGAAGTATTTAAGCTTCTCAGTCTTCACTAAATGTTTGGAATACACCATAACATTAAACTTGTCTATATTTAACTAATTCAACCAACTAGTGGTGGAAAAAACTATCATCTATTATCATTTGTAGGAATATGTGGTAATTTTAATAAATTACGAATATTTTGTACATGATTGACCTCTCTATTCTTATTTCAATACATTACATTAATGTGAGTCATTTCCTTCCATACAACGAGGAATTGAAATTTATTGAATAGATGCAAATGAGATATGTCATTGAAAGTTGTACAGTTATTTGAAGAAGAAAAAACAATAGAAGTAATAATATAAACAAATAAATAAATAATCACACTAATTAAATTCATTTTTTATTGTTCGTTGAAGAGAACGGTATTGTGTACGAGTCCCGGAGTGAACATTAGCTCTAGGATGCCATTACATCCAGCTGATGAGTCCCAAATAAAACGAGATGCTCATCCTGGGTTCCAACGTTAGTCACCATTCATCTCTGCTTATAATGGTTGTGACCTAGGGCAATATTGAAGCAATCAGCACAAGATGCACATATGCCAATAAGAGACAGATCAATTGCAGTTCTAAACATCAATCGAAAGTTTCAAACGAACAATACAAAATGAATTTAATTAGTGTGGTTATTTAGTTATTTGTTTATATTATTACTTCTATTGTTTTTTCTTCTTGAAATAATTGTACAACTTTCAATGACATATCCCAGTTGCATTTATTCAATAAATTTCAATTCCTCAGTGTATCAAATCTATCATAAGTTACCTGGACAACATCAGTAAAAAAAGTTTAACTCAGAAAAAATACTAATGTTTATTTTATGCCATTTGGGCGTACAAAAGTAGAATTGTTTACACACCTGAGGAATATAAAACTTTTGGGATTGATAGTAATAGTAATAATAATAATAATAATAATAATAATAGTGTTTCGCATTTTTACATAATTACCAATCCATCTGGCTGTTACTGATCATGGATTCAATAGAGATGGTGATGATGATGATGATAATGATTCTGCATTTTCATATACGCCACATTTTGTTACCATGATTAAAGAACAATAATAATAATAATAAAAAGAAACCAAACGTTACCCTGTAGTTATTATCGGCTATTTAATTACTTTAAGCTAATTAGAGACTGAAATAAGAATAAAAAATAAATTGACTTCACAATATGTTATTTCATTTGATATGTTTAGTTACGAACAAATATGTAGCGGGCACGAATGTGTGTATGTAGGACTGTAAAAAAGAAATTACATGCAAGATAAAATTGTCTTCTTATGGAAACACCTGTTTCAAAACATCAACTTTATTATTATCATTACTAGTAATAGTAGTAGTAGTAGTAGTAGTAGTAGTAGTAGTAGTAGCAGGAGGAGGAGAAGGAGTAGTAGTAGTAGTAGTAGTAGGAGGAGGAGGAGGAGGAGGAGGAGGAGGAGGCGGGGGGAGGGGAGGGGAGGAGCGTAGTAGTATTAGTCGTAATATGTGTAACAGTTTGTAACAAGGTTACTCTGACTATAACCGACTATCATCATTACCTTTCATGTTAATCATAGTAGGAAATCGTCGAGAATAAAGGAAGTTTTATTTTAGTAAATATTAATAAGAATATATATATATGTAACACTTTTGTTTATTATAGATCAATGTCTGAAGATTATTAAAACTATAGCAACCCTAACAAAATCCATAATAATAATTCAGCATTGCGAACGAATTATTTAGTTCCCTAATTAATATGAGGAAGAAAACAAGTTGGTTTTAATAGTCCAAAAAAAACCAACGAAAGTAATGGCTACAAAATGAAGTCATTAAAGAAACTGAACAAATCTTTTTTGTGTGTTGGTAAATAGTTTGTAAAACTATTTCTATCAATGGAAATCATGGAAATAAAATAAGATGTTAAGCAATTATTTGTATACATGTATACGTCTATATGAATGCATACATAGATACGTGCATAAATACGTATTAGTAACGTAGAGGAAATGAATAGAATGAAGAATAATGAATAAATAAAAGGTGTAGGTTATATTCATGAGAGATCTTTGTTCTCAATCAAGGTACCAATGGAGGTCAGGTAGCATTAGTATATGTGTTTTGTTTTTTTATATAAGTCTTAAGTGGTTTGGATTCATGAATTTATCTGAGATCAAACTTAAAACTTCTGAATTAGTATACAATCGTTTGAAATTTAAATTTTAGTCGATTATCGATATTAAGTAACTATCGAGCAAATAGTTCATTCTTGTCATGGTTGAGCTCCACAAATCGTGGATTTTCACTAGAACTGTGAAAATTTAACTCAAAGTTAGTCACTAATCAGAATACAAATAATGCTTGACTGGGAATAGTTTTTAAGATTAGTTTAAGTTAATGATCATCATTGCTGTCCAATATATCGTGGTTTTCGGTTGTTCTTTGGTTAATCCTTCTTATTTAACATAAGAAATTATTGGACAAATTTTTTTGATGCAACCTGTATTATTGTATAGTTTATATTAGTAGACAGTGACTACCAGTCAAGTTCAAAATGCTTTTTTTTTGTTTTTTTTTAGGGACAGATTTTGAAACACCGGTTCATTATTGTTATTGTTACGTTCCACTAAGATTCAAAATTTACACGCTAATTGTTTTTAATCCTGGAACGTTATTTACTGAACTGCTGAATGACACTAACCTTTCATTTATCGTTGTATATTATTCAGATGTAGTTCTATTCTTGTGGCGACTGTTGACTGACTTCAGATATTCATTAGGTTAGATTGTAATTACGATCTTTGAAATCTCATGAATACTGAATACATATCATAGTGGTTTTGAATACTACTAACAACTAATTAAGTAGAGAAAAATGTTATTTAATCTTTCAAGAGGTCACTCAAAGACTGAATAAACTGTTGAGCATATTCGATTTCGTGAAAAAAGAAAAACAGATCTCTCGAATTGTTGACCTCATCTTGTTCACATGCATACATAATCAATTAATTAAAAATCATGGTTTATTTTCAATGGCTTTGGATAATCTCACATGAATCAAAGTATATTGCTCATATAAAATGTTCTTCTTAGTAGTTAAATTTAAAATATAATTATTAAACATCAGCCATCATCACAGATTAGAGTATTAGTTCGCCTCTAGTCTGAAAGTATTTTCGGTACTGGAATGAGCTTGGTCAGCAGTGTGTGTGTGTGTGTTTGAAGAAAAAGAGCAAAAGTGAACAGATGAGTTAGTAAACACATCAAACGCACTTCCTTTTACCAATAGAACTAGTCAATAACAATCAGTAGTAGCATGGGACTAGGACGATTCAACTGTCACAACTAGAAGTGTTAGCATGAAATTTCAGATCTGTAACAGCTAAGCAATATGATATTTGTTACTAACTACTGAATCAAACAATAGAACTCATACAGTTAATATCAATAGACTATTATTTTTATCTAATAGCAATTTGAATAATAACAATGTAAATTTCAGTATTGCATCATCGAACTCAGAATATTAATGATTAAAACAAATTATGGTGTCAAATATGAGACCAATGAGAAATAATCATGTTCATAAATGTTCTCTATAAGGTTATTATCGTTATTATTCAACGTATTATGTGTGTATGTGTGCATGTTATGTGTGTAAGTATGTCAACTTCATGTGTGAACATGTGAGTCACATATAATTACTAAATGACAATGATTAAAAATAATGTCATATCGATTTCGTCCATTCACTCATCCATCCATTCACTTATTCTAACACGTTTTCACACCTTTTCTCTGAGCCCTAGTGACTAGATGAGGATAGATTCAATCGTAATTAATATCTCAAATTAAAACTCATAAATTAATCTCTTTTCGTCATATTAGTACTAGTTTTTATAATCCATTGTAAAATTGTCCTGTTAATTAACTTACTATATTTATTAATGAAAACTATGAAATTAAGAGAATTGTCTATTATCTACTTGACAGTCAACAAAAAACCTACGTTTAATATAATCTGAATTTGTATGTAATATTCATCCCATAATTACGTTAGCTGGGTATTATTGTGTGTCTGAGAGAGAGACTAATAGAAGATTATCGAACTTTGGAGAGGTATCTGAAAGCAGACGTACACCATTCATCAAAATACCTGATAGGAGCCCACATTACCGGTGAACAGAAAACTACAGGCGTATAAATGTATGTTCATTTGGTATGAAAAGATATTAAACAAACTTGTCGCTATATGTTGATTCAGTGAAGATCCTTAAATCTTCAGTAGTATATCAGTACAAGTTGATATATTTCTTAAGAGGACAATAAAAGTATTACAAACTTTAAAAAATCGTTTAGATGATTTAGTGGGAATTTCATAGAAACATGAGTAGATTTTCCTCAACAGATTATTACTAATTAAAGTGTTACTAAAAACTAAATAGCTTAAAATGGGATCTGATCAAGTCACATTTGAAGATCATAACATGTGAAGTTAAAAAAGTCAGGAGTAAGGAGGTAAGTTATCACCATTGACGATAGTCACATGATGTCATAGAGTGGTTTAAATTTTAAGGCTTAAATGATTAGATTGCAAGGTACAGGCTTGATAGTGTCGTAAACAAATATTATCTACTAAGAAGATCATTAGGTGATGATGTGAGGTTGAAAGCATCTTTCTAGAATTCATGTTCTGTTTTTATTTATTTCACTGGGAAAGTGGACTAAATCAAAGATGAAGACGATGGTATAAGTTTAAACCAAATGTTATTACAAACACAAACCAACTTGACGGGCAGTTAGATTATAATTGACTGATAGAGATTATATTATATCAAAAAATCATTTGACATTGAAAACGTTTGTCATTAAATTGCAATCCAATGATGAACTAGGTACAATACCCTATGCGTAATCAGAAATTTTCTTTTGTCTAGTTAATGAGGTATTTCGAATTAGGACCATGCAAATGAGTCAAGACTTCCTTGTTTCTAACATTTGTTTGATGAACGTCATTTCATGTTTAAAACTATTTCCAACGGATAATGAAAGAAATATATTTTTATTGATTTGACAAGTATTCTACGGATCAGTACATGAATTAAACATAGATTAAAGTTTACTTAATGAACTGACATCAACAGTACTCCCTGAATCACTGTTATATATATATTAACTTAAAGCAAATACATGTCACTATGGATTCTACATGGTACTGAATTTCAGTAACTTCGTATCACACATTTAGTAAAATATAATTTAATTTTTGGATCGGAATCTAATGATCTTAATCATCTGTACCAACTAAGGATAGAGCCATTACCATTTATGTAGTCGTATGTTTTTTTTGATAATTTGATGTCTTTATTTATTGATTATAATATTGGAACCAATGCCATACATGTACATTCGTTATTGCTGATTTAATTCTTTCGAATAAGTTGTAATAATTCATGAACTAAACCACCTTTGAAAACCTGGAGGCATTAAACGTCTGTTTTTATCTTAGTGCAAGACTCCTCAACACTGTGCATTCACAATCCCGCTTGCAGGACTCAGAACCAGGACCTTCAGTCTCTAGATCACTGAGCCAACATCCAAAATATTTATTTATAATTAAACTTGTTAAAAACAATTACTTCGCTTAGCTGATATATATATATATATATATATATATATATATATATATATATATATATGCATCACTGATGTACTGATGCTGTGACCTACAAGTTATTTGATAAAAGTCTAATTAATCTTTTTTTATCAGAAGGGGTTTGTGGAGATTTTAGAAACTTCACAGATTGTGGTCTAGTTGGTTAAGCACCTGGTGCGAGACTGATAGGTCCTGGGTTCTAATCTCGCGGAGTGCAGGATCGTGGATGCGCACTGCTGAGGAGTCCCATACTATGACGAAACGGCCGTCTAGTGCTTTCAGGTTTTCCATGGTGGTCTAGCTTCAATTGACTCATGATTTCAGTCTGTAATGTTTTTTTTTATCAAACTAGTGTATGATAACAATTTCATATTCAAACAATCGATTCAGTATGTTCATTTCTATATCAATTACATTCATTAACATAACAATTTTTCAATCTCCACATTTAACCCTCTCTCTTTTGAAGAATATTTAAAATAACCCAATAAAAATATCTAAAGTAAATACATATAAAAACATTTTCTCTCTTTTACTCTCTCTCTCTCTCTTTTCACTTTTATGTTATTTACATTCTGTTATCCAATCGCAAATAAGATGTAGGAAAAATCAACTGAATACATGAATTTCTTATATTTTTCAATAGAAAGTTCACTTATAGAAGAAGAAGAAGAAGACGACGAAGATGCAGAAGACAAAGAAGAAGAGAATTCCAATTTAATAATATTCTGTAATTAACCAATCGAAATGATAATTGTTCACTTATTCCTGTTAATTTACAGAATAACTTCATTGTGACATTTTTTTCACACTTCAGTATGATTAGCTACATACATACACATATACACATACGTACGCACAAATCTTCTCCACCATCCATACATACATGCAATTTAGACGATATGATTAAGAATTAATAGAAAGACGTTAAGACCTACGCCCCCCTCCTTCAACCCACTCATTTATATAATTAAATGTTTGAATTTTATTGGTTATTTTCGGTTGCCATATGTATCTATGCGACTAAGAGGGGAAAAGATATTTCACTATTATTAATAATAATTATAATATTAAGGAGAGAGTAGTGTAAAGATCTATAGATTAGTTATCTAGATGAAAGTAGACTATCATTGATGGACATTTTAAATAATTATAAATAGTAGAATCATTATTTAAATATTATTATCATTATTGTTTATTATTGTGTGTTAATAATAAAGATGGATTCATTTTCCATAGCTAATTTAATTGATACACATTCAGAAGGAACAAATGATCAAGACAATTTTAATGATGGATCAGAACAAACAATGAAGAATACATCTTTGATAAATACATTTTTAAGTTTAACATCATTATCATCTAAGAGTAAAATTTATAATGAATCAATGAATGTAATTAGTTCACATTGTATTAATAACAATGATAATCATAATAATATGTCACATTTGGAATCTAAATTAATCAGTTCATCAAACGATATTCCATTTATGAATAATGAACAAATATTATTGGGGAATATGTTCGAGTCTAAATATGAATGTAAGTTGCAATTAATGTAGATTATATCATTTCTCTTGTGTAATTTTGGGAAATAAAAGTATTTATCATGAATATGATTAGTCTTTATTGACTTTGTTGACTAACACGATGATTGCATAGTTAAGATCTAAACAATAATAGATTAAAGGAGCTTATTTTATAACTCTTTCGTCTGGTCCAATTTAACCTAGCGACTAATTTGTCTTGTATATTTTTAGTATATACAAAAATGAAATCTAATAATTTGATTTTATTTGGGAGTTCAAATAAAGAGAATACACAGGTAGACAGGTTATCATTAAGTTACTGTATATACCAGGTCCGTGTAACACAACTAATTCAGCAATATTAATCATTACTAACATTGACAAGTTACAGTACACGATTTGATATTCAGTTATCAATCTTCCAATGTGATGAAATGTTTAGCATGACTGATAATTTGGTTAGTGTTGATTGTTATTCCATGAATTTCACAATTGTACCAATTTATATTCAGTAGTGTTTAGCGGTGATATTGGTTAAATTATTCATTAACCTGTAAGCATTGAATGTCTTATTTCTTTAAAAAATCAGAGTGAACTTCATTGGATAATCATTGTTTAATAAGAAATAAAAGATATTTAAACATATTTGTTCTTAGTTGACAACTGAGGAGTAGAATAAATAGTTTATTCAAATTTAGAGGTTTGACAGTTATTGGATTCAATGAATATTTGGTGGAGAAGAACAAAGATTTCAATAGAATAGTGTAAATTCCACTTCACTTCACTTCACTGAGTTCTCCTCAACTACT